TATGACATCCTTGACATAAGGCTTTGACACTACAATTAAACACACACATTCAGTTGGTTTTAATAAAGATGTCACACTGGGTCATCACACTATGATGCCACAAGAGAATATATAGGTGTATACTTTACCAATTATCCGAACAAAAAAAAATCCTAGTTGATCCAATAAAATTGATGCAAAATCATCACATACAGTTTAGCCTTAATGTGTCTAGATTAACCGTCAAGCTTACTTAATAAATGGGTTAACACAAGAATATACAAGATTCAAACCTATATCTATTTGATTATAAACACAATTTTAACAAATTTGAATATGATATTACATTTACATGATACAAATATGGCACGACCTATCAATAAGTTTTAGATGAGCAACTTATAGACAATTTACTCTCTAGGATGGAACAATCCCTACCCCCACAGTGTATGTTGGTACAATCTTACTTCATTCTTGGAATGAGAACAGACAGATGTATACATAAACATTCAAGTGTATATTTTTTAATAGCTCAGTCTTTTAGAGTGATTGGTGATTCAAAATAATATCGTATCTAGAGCTCCTATCTTTCAATCTCGCCCCAACATTTATAACTAACAAATTTTTACATGTTTGGCCTAAAATTTAATCCTTACATGATGTGGCTATTAAAATACCAATTTACTTAATGTTACATACTCTCTAGCTACTTGAACCTATACGAATTGATTGAGAAGAAGTCATTGATCTTGGATACTAAATAATCAATTGCCATTTTTATAATTAACCAAAAAGTTCAGATATCCTAAAAAATCTAGGAAGATAGTGAGGGAGAAGCATATATAGTCTTGAGCTATTGTAGTATAAATTTGGGCTTGTTCCTCATGTATTAGGGACACAGTTCAACAAAAAAAAATCTTGTATTAGGGACTGTTTGGTTATAATTATTAGGAAAGAATATTTTTGTTTTCATGAACAACTAGAACTTTTCTTTTGTCTTGCCCNAAACCTATACGAATTGATTGAGAAGAAGTCATTGATCTTGGATACTAAATAGAGTTAACGGTAAAAATATTAATTGGTTTTTCAAGTCTATAGGATTTTTTAGATCCAAGATAGTGAGGGAGAAGCATATATAGTCTTGAGCTATTGTAGTATAAATTTGGGCTTGTTCCTCATGTATTAGGGACACAGTTCAACAAAAAAAAATCTTGTATTAGGGACTGTTTGGTTATAATTATTAGGAAAGAATATTTTTGTTTTCATGAACAACTAGAACTTTTCTTTTGTCTTGCCCTTATTATATTATAAAGGAATATTCATGTGAATGATTGAATTAAGAAATTCATTCCACGATTCTTAAGATGGTATCAGAGCCTTTTCTTTCTTTGAGGCCTGACCTAAAAAAATTCTAAAACCATATGGCGGCACCTTCTCCCATCCCCAACCAACCTCCTGTCGATGCCTATCCTCCAGCAGCCGTCGTGGATGGCTCTTCTCCTTATCATCTTCTATCTTCTGATTCCCCCGATGTGAAACCTCGTAATTTCAAGAAGTCTATTCTTGGCAGGCCTTCCATCCAGCAGGCTGCCAATCACATTCTGGCAGTGTTGTCCTCCTCACCTATCATGGTCCCTAGCTTGACACTTGAGCAATATCGGCAACTGATTGATCTTCTCACACCTGCACCTTTTGCTGCCAATTTTTTTGGTAACTCCTCTATATTCTCTTATTCATCTCTTTCCTTTAATCCCAATTATGACTGGTTGATTGATAGAGGTGCTAGTGATCATGTCTCCTAATTATAGCTTATTTTGTAATTTTGTTCGTCCTATCAATGTTCATTACATTCGCTTACCTACTAGGAATTTGGTTTATATTGAAGGAATCGGTGATATTCACCTCTCTTCTTCTTTCCATCTATTGAATGTATTTTATGTTCCTACATTTAAATTTAATCTTCTTTCTATTCGAAAGCTTACAAATTATCTTGGTTGTGTTGCTATTTTATTTTGTTCCTCTTGTGTTTTTCATGACCATCTCATGAAGAGGTTGATTGGAACGGGTGAGGCATGCAACATGCTCTACATCTACCATCCTATTCCACCTATGACCCCCTCTGCTAGTAGTCATCCTACTAAAGCCCTTTGGCACCAACACCTCAGTCATCTTTCTACTTTTCATTTTCCTAGTTTTAATAAGTTTTCTTTTTCTTTTAATAATTGTGATGTATGTGCTCGTGCCAAGCACACTCGAACTCCTTTTCCGGATTTTGCTAATAAAAGTGTAGTAGTTTTTAATCGAATTTTTGTTGATATTTGGGGAGGTTATCACACACAATCCACTAGTGGTGCACATTTTTTTCTCATTATTCTCGATGACTTTTCACATGCTACCTGGGTTTACCTCATGTGCTTTAAATCCAAAACCTTCTCTTGCCTACATTTGTTTTGCGCTTGTCGAGAATCAATTTTATACTTGAGTTAAACATGTCCGCCCTAACAGTGGTGATGAATTTTTGTCTAATTCTTTGCAAAATTTCTTTAGTGACAATGGCATGTTGAGACTCCATAACAAAATTGTGTGGTTAAACGTAAACACAGACACCTTTTGAATGTAGCTCATTGTCTCTGTTTCCAAGCCAACATTCCCATTAGGTTCTGGGGTGAGTGTGTCCTCACTACAGATACTTAATCAACCGAACAACATCTCCTTATCTCCAAAATAAATCTCCTTTCTAACTACTCTTTAATAAGCTACCATCTTATGATCGTATACACGTCTTTGGTTGTCTTTGTTATGCGCACACACTCAAAGCTCATCGTGATAAATTTTCACCTTGTGCTACCAAATGTGTCTTCCTAGGTTACCCTAGCTCACACAAAGACTATCGTGTCTATGATCTTGACTTTAACAAAAAAAAAATCTCTAGGGACGTGACCTTCTACGAAATGGGCTTTCATTTTTGCACTCTGTTATATCCTTCCGCCCTTCCCTTTCCTATCTTTCCCCATCTAGTTCTTGAAACTCTTGATGTCTACCCCAAACCCAGAGATCACTCCCACTTCCTCGTCTGATATATCACCACTACCCTCACTTTAAACACTTTCACTGCCACCTCTTCCACCCCTACCACTCTCTCTTCCACGACGTTCGATTACTCGCCCCCTCCACCTCCGTGATTAAATCTGTCCTACCCTCCATGCAGAGCCCACTACACCTTCATCTGTTCCACAGTCCTTAGGTACTTCTCATTCACTTACTTATTTCCTCTGTTATTCTCATTTTTATGCTTCTCATTTTGCCTTTTTAGCTACTCTTACTGTTATTGTTGAGTCTTCCTCCTACTCTTAGGCCATTCATCGTTCTCATTAGCATGAGGTCATATCCGCTGAACTTAGTGCTCTGGAGGCCAATAATACTTGGACTCTCAAGTATCTTCCTCCTGGCAAGAAACCAATTGGTTGCAAGTGGGTCTTCAAGACCAAAATTTGGGTTAATGGTTCCATTGAGAGCCATAAGGATTGGTTGGTGGCTAAGGGCTACACACAGGTTGAGGGGCTCGAATACCATGAAACCTTTGTGCTCGTTGCTTGGATGGTTACTATTCGTTGTGTTTTGGTTATGACTTTAGGTAGGAATTGGATTATTCATCAACTTGATGTTCATAACATCTGTCTACATGGTGATCTTGATGATGAGGTTTACATGACCCTTCCCCATGGATATTTCACTAAGGGGCAGACTAGAGTTTGTTGGCTAAGAAAATCTTTGTATGGGCTCAAATAGGCTTCCCGCAATTGGTTTTTCAAGCTTTACTCTTTTCAAGAATGCAAGATCTGCTTGAATTGCATTAGGTTGAAATTCTTATTAACAAGGTCTAATATAAATACTACACGTACAAGAGAGATAGAAACCAACTATGAAACTAAATACTACCACTACAATTTAGCTAATAGATCATAAAATAAAGCGAAACATATATCTACAATCTTAACACTCACCCTCAAGTTGGAGCATGGAGATTAGTAATGCCTAACTTGCTCAGAAGAAATTGGAACTGAACATTGCCCAGAGCCTTGGTAAACAAATTAGCCAATTGATGTGAACTGGGAACACATTTCGTTTACAAGAGCCCTTATTGAATCTTTTCTCTTATAAGATAACAATCCAGTTCAATATGTTTTGTTCTCTCATGAAAAAGGGGATTGACAGCAATATGCAGTATGAAAAACAGATGATAATTTGGCAAACTAATTATAGGAAGCTTGCTTAAGACCGTAAGTGGATTTTTGCAAGCTACAAACTCGTTTCTCTCCCTATTGGCCAAGACCAAGAGGAAGTTTCATATAGATGTCTTCACTAAGATCACCATGAAGAAGACATTGTTGACATCAAGTTAATGAAAAGCCCAATTACACACTGCAGCAACTGCTAAAAGGCAACACACAGTTGTTAATTTTGTAACAAGTGCAAATGTTTCATGATAATCCAAACCTTCATGTTGAGTGTAACCCTTGGCAACAAGAAGAGCTTTGTATCGTTCAATGGAACCATTAGCTTTATGTTTGATCTTATAAACCCATTTTTCTAGCCAATGAGTTTTGTCTGAGGTGGCAAAGGAACTAAAGTCCATGTGTGATTGGCTTCCAAAGCGGCAAGTTCAACATCCATGGCTTGGCGCCAATTAGGGTCTTGAACCGCTTGAGCAAATGTAGTAGGTTCGGTGGTTGTAGATATTGAGGCTATAAAAGAGTGATGAGAGGGAGAAAAACGATCATAGGAAACAAAATTAGAGATGAAAAAGTGAGTAGTTGAGTGGCGAACCTGCATTGAAGTAAATGACAAGTCGGGGACGAAAGACAATAGTGTTGTACAATGATAATCCTCAAAATGTGAAGGAGGTTGATGAATGCGAGTTGAGCGTCGCACGGAGACTGGCGAAGCAACAATGGGCTAATCGTAAGAAGGCAATATGGGTGAAACAGTGGGTGGGCTAGGCGAGGAGTTGCTGGCTAGGCCAGGTGAGGATGAGTTTTTAGTAAGGGGCTGGACTATGTTAGGGGCCGGATTAGAGACGGGCTGGCTTGTTATGCCAAGAGGGGATTGAAGGTCATTAGGGGACTCGACCACGGTAAATTTGGGATCAGGAAGGCTACAAGAAATAGGCAAAAGTGAGGGAAAGGAAGAAGATGGCCTATGGGGCAAATCACAAGTGGGTGCCATGGGAAATTGAGACTCGTGAAAATAACATCCCGACTCACAAAGATTTGGTGAGTTGTGAGATCAAAAAGATGATAGCCTTTTTAGCCAAATGGATACCCAAGAAAAAGACATTGACGTGCGCGACTGTCAAATTTATTTTTTTGAAAAAGGGTGGTGGCATAGCATAAGCAACCAAAAACACAAAGGTGGTTGTAGGAGGGCTTAGTGTGAAATAAGATCTCATATAGTGATTTTCCAGCAAGAATAGTAGTGGGCATCTGATTGATAAGATAGGTGGCCGTAAGAATACAATCACCCTGAAACGACATGAGTAAATGAGAGTGAAAATGGAGTACACGAGCCACCTTAAGGAGGTGACGGTGCTTGCGTTCCACAACCAATTTTGTTGGGGGGTGCCAACACAACTGTGTTGTTGGATGACACCACGCTCATGAAGAAAATGGCGAAAGTCATGAGAAAAAAATTTCATGTCATTGTCAGAGCACAATTGTTTAATGGAACAATTGAATTGAGTTTCAATCCTGCGGAAATATTTTTTTAGTAAGTCACAAGCCTTGGATTAAATTGCATTAAAAAAACCCATGTACAACGAGAAAAATCATCCACTATAGTTAAAAAATAATGAGCTTCCGATAAGGAAGCAATAGGTTGGTGACCCCATATATCACAATGGATTAAAGCAAAAGGCACATCTGTCATAATAGAACTTGTATTAAATGAAAGACTAGTTTGTTTTGCTAACGGACAGTAAGGACAAAATAGAAAGGAATCAAAACAAATGATGGAAACTTCTTGAGATAATTTTTTAGTTCTAGTAGCAGAAGGGTGGCCGAGTCTTTGATGCCAAATTTGGAAAGACATACTAGATTTCGAGGCTAGGGCGTACAAAGAAGGGAATTGAAGCAAATAGAGTCCATCAACTTCTTTACCCAACCCATTCGTCCTCTTTGTTGCAAGGTCTTGAAAAATACAAAAATTGGGAAAAAATGTCACAGAACAATTAAGAATTTTTGTAAGTTAATGAACTGGCAATAAATTGACGTTGAAGGAATGTACATATAAAACATCATCAAGAACAATATTAGAATCAAGAGTAACAGATCCACTAGAGTGGATTGGAACAATAGTGCCATTGGGTAGACGAATGGGGCCTTTTGAGACCTGAAATTTTAATGTAAACAAATGAGGTGAAGGAATCATGTGGTCAGTAGCACCGGTATCAATAATCTAAGATGAAAGTGGTAAAGAAAATGAGGTTGTCAAGAGAGATTTACCTGTTACATTTGCCAAAGGATGTGTACCTTCATTGAGTAAAGCCATGATTTGCTTATATTGCATGGGTGTAAAGTTGGGAGTCAAATTAGGGCCTGTTGTTGGTTTGGCTTGATGAGCAAAATAATTGGGG